ATTCAAAATATTTTCAGCGATGCAGCGTTGTCACTTCTACCAAAAAGTAGCATCATCTTTGTTATTTCAAATGGAACACCCTGTATTTCATTGCGTTTTTAGATTCTTCTCGAAAAGCTGATTTCATCAATGCATCACACTTGGGGTCTAGCAGGAATTATTACAGAGATATAGGGTGTTCAAAATCGAGATTTTTCAATTTCAGGAATTTTTTGTGTCGAAACTATTCATTATCGATCAAAACGGCTTACATGTCCCTATCTTAACTTTTGATTCACTATCTACTGACATTTAATTGGAACAGATACAGGGTAATCAAAATTCTGATTCTTGGACCATCCTGTATTTTTTCCAATTAAATGTCGGTAGATAGTTAATCAGAAGTTGATATAAGGACATGTAAGCCGTTTTGACCAATGATGAATAGTTTCGACACAAAAAATCCTAAAGTTGGAAAATCTCGATTTTGAACACCCTATATCTCTGTAATAATTCCTGCTAGACCCCAAGTATGATGCATTGATGAAATCAACTCTTCGAGAAGAATCTAAAAACGCAATAAAATACAGGGTGTTCCATTCGAAATAACAAAGATGATGCTACTTTTTGGTAAAAGTGGCAACGCTGCTTCGCCGAAAATATTTTGAATCGTTAGATCACAAACGCTTATTAGAGTAACCAAATTCTCAGGATAATACAATGTACCGTTTTTCGTATATGTCTAAGGTACCATCGACCGTGGGCCACCCTGTATATCGATATATCGACTTTGATTCCACATTTTTCGACAAAGATAACCTGAATAGAGTAAAAATATTTCAAATCAGAAGAAAGAGCTCTATCTATTAGGGAAATGAAATAGAGGGTGTTTTATAATAATATGAAGAATAGCAGTATATGTAAAATTTTCACGAGGCTTTCTTGCGTTTCCTAGTACTATCTTCAGAATGCCTATAAAAAGTACTTCATTCTTGCCCTTTTGAACGTTTCTGTAAGACCAATATTAACTGAGATAGATATTAAGTAAAATATAAACAATCACCCTGTACATATAAACCACGGGACTGAACAGGGCCTGAAGCTTTTGTTTCCCTCAGCGAATTGTGTCGGGCTACCAACTTTTTGCATTGGGAGGTTAGTCCTTGGGGATTGCATGAAATGCAATCCCTCTATTATGTCCGAGGAACATTGAGCGAACCGAAAAAGGATAGGGAGGGGAGGGAAGGGTAGGAATTAGAGTTTTCTCGAACATTTGGAAGTGATAAGTACTTCTCTTGGCAGATAACTCCAAAGCTTCAGCGTCTGGACTTGTCGTGTTTGTCTGACTGATATTGCTAGTGATGGAAGAACACTTCTCGAGGAAGTATCTATGAAAAAGTTAAAGGTCGCTGATTTTCTCACGGTGTCTCAATGATGTCAAAGAATCAGTGAGTATGACATCATCAACAAGCTTAATCGCTCCTCTGTGGATGGAATATCAGCATATGTTTGTGGAAGAGTCCTTTTCGGAATGGGCTTATATCACAAAAAAATTTTATTTCATAATTCGATAGAACTCACCCAAACTAGCTCACCACCGCAAACCGTTTCTTGCTGTGAGCTCCCTAGGTTTTATAAAAAATTATTGAAATACCCGATTTTTCGGCCCTCTGAAAACGAGGCGATGATGTGACGTCAAAACCCTAATACTGAAACAAGACTATTCCAGACAGAGATGAATGATACATGATTTCTCACAAAGCACCAAGATTGGTGAATCGGCAAGTTGATTTTTGGGACATAGATGATAAGAACAAGAAGAAGATCAATTCTAACCTATATTAAGTTTCTGCAACTTTCGAATATTAAATTGAAATATTTCGACAAAAGTATGATTGAGAAATGTTCTGTGCCTAATTGCAATTTAAAAAACATCATTTAGCTGGGAATTTTGAGAACAAATCTCGCCCCTCACTGGGTAAACACAATATTATAGTAGTAGTTTTGCTTTGCAGAAATTCATAGGGAAATTGCTTGAAGAATGAATGATTCATCTCCTAGAAGAACATTCAGGGGGAGATGCAAGCAGTATCTAGTCTTGGGAATAACATTGTTTCATACCAATTGATCACATTGTTGCATAGGTAAACATATCGATCAGTGACTGATTTAATGAGGATTCTCCCTCGGAATCTCCATATGATGGGTATTCTGATGTTAAATATCCTTTCAGGTGAACAATTTTCCAATGCAACTATAATAGGTACAAGCAATGAAAATTGAATGAATATTGTGGATTGTGGAACTTACCTTTCAGATTTTCTATTCCTCATTTCAGCACTGTGGAACTGTGGAGATTTTCTAGTATGTTAGAGACATAAAAATAATTAACCATTCCCAAATCAATTTTCGGTAGATTATTTGATGAGCCTTTTACAAATCCTGATTCAACGTTCATGTTTATATTCAATATATCAATAATATGTACTAATATGATATAAAGCAATATTTGGAGGTTAATTTCATTACGTGTCTTCTCTTCTCATTTTAGACGACATAAATAACTTCGGAATCGGAATTCGAGACTCGATGCAAATGCAGCTCCATGTGAAACGGGTCAACAAAGCAATGTTGCTGCGTTCATGAAAAATATTGGATTATTGTGAAATTGTCATGGTGCAAATGGTTTTGAGATTGAGACATTTCATTGTTTAGAGATTGTTTATATTCTATTCTATTCATTTTATCTCTACTTTTGGTGTATAACTGTAATGTTACTAATTTATGTTCAAAATGTTTGTGTATCATCTGTTGTCTGACGTATCCTATATCATTTTTTTGATCATGAAGGATTTAATAAATTTATTTATTTTATTTTTATTTTATTGATTCAACCTACCATCGACAAGTTGAATATATTTTTCTGCAGTAGTGGTAGTTGATATCAAAAGATATTTCAATATCGATTTCGATCTCTCGGATATTTTGTTTAGATGATATGGCAACAGTGATAAGTGTCACACATGGGTCACTCTATGGGTCACGCTCATTGGTTCCAGGCGAGATGAGGTTTCTACGTCATAAGAGGGTCCGTTTTCAGAAGGTACTATTATTTATGTTCGAAAATAAAACATTCCAGTTAATTTTTCGATCGAATTATGTCGCCAATCGTTATTTATGTATAAAAGGATCATTATAAACATGGTTTGAGTTGAAAGTTCTACTAAGGTGTACACGCCCATCGCAAGAAGGATACCCGCAAGTCACCACCACCCTCTACCGCTATCTCTTCATGACAATCGACTTGTCCGCTCCCGAATCGAGTCTCCTGCCTCCGGAGGCGGCCAAGTGACATTAACTCGCAGCTGTGTGGGTATTTTTATCATCGGTGTAAACGGTTGCATAAACATCAAAGGATCCTCGTACATTTTCCGAACGTGTTTATACGGCCAATAGCTGTGAATGTCCTCATCCTCGCAAAGTAACGAGGTGAACAGTAATTGGTTGACCTAATAAACGGTTAAACAACGTAGCTTGTTGCCTGAATATTAGTTGTTTTATGAAAATATATGAGAATATATGAGAATCTATGGAAATCTATGGGAACCCATGAGAGTTTATCAGAAGTCATGGGAGTTCATCTCATAAACTACCAGAAGAGGCCCATACGAATATATGTTGATTTGTAGCTGTGTGATTATTTCAATCTTCAAGACAAACATCAAAGGATCCTCTTCCATTTTTCGAAGTCGTTTATACGTTCAACAGCTGTAAACGTCCTCATCCTCGCAAAGTAACGGGTGAACAGTAATTGATGGACCTAATAGACGGTTAAACAACGTAGCGTGTTGCCTGAATACTGGTTATTTCATGAATATGAAAATCTATGAGAATTTGTTAGTAGGTTCAAGAGTTTATGAGGAGACATGAGATTTCATGAGAATGCAAGCGAGTTTATGGCAACTTATGGCCTAATAACAGTTGAACAACGTAGCTTGTTGCCTGCATATTGTTTTTTTTTATGAGCATATATGAGAATCTATGGGGAATTATAGGAGTAATCATAATAGTTCATGAGGAAACATAAGAGTTCAGGGAAAAACATGAGAATACAAAAGAGTTTATGGGAAGTCATTTCTCTATCTCAGTTTGCTTCTCGAATACCATTCAGTTCTTGATATTCCATCAGGATACATAGACAACCATTGAAATCAACAAAATGAACAATATTCTATGGAAATTCATCTCATCATGATACATGCGTAATATATCATAGAGAAAAAAATTTTCGATTATCTAATAATGAACTTTTTTCCCATTTGTTACGGACTATGGATGGTACTGTATATGATAATTGTTGTGAAAACTTAGTATTATGCAAATGGAATCAGGTTTTCTAAGGCCATCTTGAAATAAATATCAAATAATAAATCTTGCTTGCACTTTTGCCAGCCTGTATCATAGATAGAAGCTTTTCAAATCAGAATCAAGTAAGGAATCTGGAAACAACTTCCGCCTTGGGATTATTCAGACTCACCCTGTAAATAATTGATTCATTACTCCAAATCAAATTCAATATCACCTATGATCTGCATGTGGACTTTGATGAGTCATACCTACAACTTAAATGAGTGTTTATGGGCATCTATTAGAATTTTCCAGAATTTATGATGATTCACGATGATTAATGAGTAATCATGAGTTTATCAGAAAGTAGACATCCAAATTGCAAGAAACATGGGGAAAATACAGTTCGAACCGAATATAATCCGATAGTGAATCAATTTCCAGCACAACTTCAGATACGTCAGTATCAATTTCAGCTATTTCATATCGAAATAGGAAAGTTTCTCCACAGGAAATTCGATGAAGCCGTAGGTACTCTCTATATGTGAATCAGCAGCGGAAACAGAATACAATGAAGAAATAAAACAAATTCTTAGAGTTGTTAGCGAGCGCTCAATCCTCAATTCGATTCCCCACACACATTATATTGGATCTCTCTTCTCTTCGCTTTGAAGCGCCGTTTCGCCTTACTTGTCAAATGTCAAAGCGACCTATCCGAACGTAATCGTTCGGAAGCCAGAGGGTTCAAAGAAGTCACTACTACAAATAGGATGATGTGTGATTGATTCGTGTTGATGTGTTTTCCTCCATATCAACCTTTGTCGGCCCTAATGATGTATACGCTTCTGTTGCTCGAAGGGATATAGACTTACTATAGGTCGTTCAAGTTTGATTTATAGATTTGTCACGATCGCGAAAAGGATAATACAATCAACACTTTGGCAAACAACACACATCTTCTAGAAACAAAATTATTTCGAAATGACTCTCGTGAGTTGCGGATATTCATATTATTTCTCCTGTATCCTCTTCCTTTAGCTCTTCATTGATTCTAAAGTTTCATCAATTCTTATATATTCTAATAAATAGTCATAATTTCCCATGAATTCACATGAATTCTCTTAAATTATCATAATTTGTCAAAAATTAATATAAATCTTCATCAATTCTCCTTATTTCTCATAGATTCTCAGCACCTCTTCATAGATTTCAATTAAATCTCGTAGATTCTCATAGATTCTCAATTACTAAAATCAATATTCGGAGAAAGAACGTGGTTCGTTGATCATGCATTGAAACGGAGATGTAAAATATACGAAACTAATAGGGCTCACGAATATCGTGGCTATTTTAGAGATGAGTGCCTATAAATTGTCGTGACTTTCCATGAATCCTTTCATCATTCCATATATTTTTTTTATGAAATTACGAATATTCGGACTAAAACTTCGTGCATCTATCATTTCAAGGTTTGTCCATTATCCTGCACTTCGTAAACCTTACACAATAATGTGGCAATGCGAAAGTATATACCATCATTTTCATTATATTATGAACAACCCTAGCACTATTGGGCCTCTTCTGGTAGTTGATGAGATGAATTTCTATATACTCTTATGTAGCCTCATAGATTATGAGGATTCTTCATCAATTCTGATGGATTATCATGAACTGAATGGTATTTGGCGTGCAAACTGAGATAGGGAAATAGTTTTACTAAACTAGAAATAGTTTCAATGAGTTCTCACAAATTCTCATGAATTCTCATAAATTCTCATGAATTCTCATAATTTCTCATAAATTCTCATAAATTCTCATAAATTCTCATAAATTCTCATAAATTCTCATAAATTCTCATAAATTCTCATAAATTCTCATAAATTCTCATAAATTCTCATAAATTCTGATAAATTCTCATAAATTCTCATGAATTCTCATAAATTCTCATGATTACTCATAAATTCTCATACATTCTCATGAATTTTTGAAAATTCTCATAATTTCTCATGAGTTCTCATAAATTCACATAAATTCCTATAAATTCTCATGAATTCTCATGAATTCTCATAAATTCTCATGAATTCTCATGAATTCTCATGATTTCTCATGAATTCTCATAAATTCTCATGAATTCTCATGAATTCTTGTAAATTCCCATTAATTCTCATAAAATCTCATAGATTTCACATAAATTTTCATAAATTCTTGTAAATTCTCGTAAATAACTTATATTCAGGTAAGGAATTTTGTTGAGGCAAGTCAAGAGTATAGACATAAGTCAATCTTGTGTTTTTTCGTATCATGTACAAACCTAGCCTTACTGGACCTCCATTGAGGTGAAAAAATGAGATTTTTGTCTCATTCTCATCGAAATGTGTGCAATCACTGTCAACCTATCCCGGAGAAATACATTAGATAATTGCTATGTTCTCTGCTAGCCAGTTCTCTCTCAAACAGGTCTCTCCATGTAGTGGTCGTCGGAGTTTCATCTGACTCTCTTATCATAAATGCTGGTGTTCCGCAAGGATCAATTCTAGCACCAACACTATTTCTACCCCATATCAACGATTTGTTGTAAGCAACTTCATGTCCAGTACACAGCTTCGCGGATGATAGTACCCTCCATACCGCCTTCTCTTCCAGGGCTCCAATACCAGCAAGGCAAATCAGAAGCGAACGAGGAAGAAATGTTGACAACATAAATATGGACTTGGCAACAATTCTCCATTGGGGATCCAATAACTTGGTAGATTTCAATGCAAACAAAACATAAGCATGCCTTTTCTGTAGAAAAGCTGATCTCACTGTGCCCAACATAATCTTTTCAGGAGTAACCCTACCTTTGAAGACGTCTATTTCGATGCTTTGTATCACTATCAGCAATAACCTTTCTTGGGAAAATCACGTGAGATCAATTGCTAAGTGCATCCCGAAACCTTGGTTTTCTCTTTCGGGCCAGGAGCTATTTCACTTCCAGTCAGCTGCTTATAATCTATAAGGCACAGATCCGACCTGTCCTGGAATACTGTTCCCATATTTGGAGTGCAGCACCCAAACATACCCTGAAACTGTTGGATCCTGTCCAAAAAAGGGCAATTCGTCTCGTGGGTGATGCCTCGCTCACAAACCCACTCACTTCTCTGGAACACCGTAAAAAAGTTGGCGATCTCTCTCTATTCTAGAGATATTTTCATGGACCATGCTGTGTTGAAATATCAACAATCGTTCCTTCATTGGCAGTCCCCGCGAGATTCATGGCATGATTTAAAGAGAGAAATAAGTCATAGAGAAAAATCAAGTTTACAGGTATAGCAATCACAAAGGATCATGACTTAGATATCTCAGGCAATTTAGCACCTACATGAATAGAAACTTCATACCTCAAAATAAATATGAGAATATGAACACAAAATTCATTGGTTTTATTTTACTCACCCTGTAGATCACATTATCATGCATTTCCAAACACTCAGATAAGTTCTCTTATGCTCATTAATTATCATTGTATCTAATAACTTTTTATAAAAACTGATAGATTTAGCTGAAACATCCATCATAACACTCTAAGAAATCCTCGAACACCCAGATAAGTTCTCATACATTCATAATAATAATTATCTGTGTATTCCATGACTGCTTATAAATACCCATAAATTCACCTGAAACATGAACTTTGGCATTGAAAACATTCCGGGTGAGCTCATGAAAACTCCAGATCATGTAGAAAATTGCGGATATGATGTCTTTCAATTGAATATCCATCCGATTGAATTGACGGACTATATTAGAAATTCCTAGAAAAAATTCTTCCTGATGTCGCTGTCCCAATGCCCAATGCGGCTTGTTAGCGATTGCAATCTAGTGAATGAAATTTACGCACTCGTTAGCAAAGGGGACAAGTTTACGCAGTTTACTGCAGGATTTGCGTTCAATTGAAAGTAATACCGAATTCAGATGAAAAGAAGACCGAGATAACGATGATACATGAGAGTTTCTATACCCGGGGGTAATTAGTTGTAAAGGTAGAAGCAGGATGAACAGAAATCCACCTTTGGTAGGAGTTACGCGTCAACTTTTCTGCTGAGCTTCGATTTTCTCTTTCTTTAACTACACGGTGGACCACATGAGTGGGCTAGTTCCGGAACTCTATATACAGTGTGTCCACCTAAAGGACTTACCACCCCTGTAAAATTGTTATTATCTGACCGATTTAAAAAAACTGTTTTTAGTTGGATAGGTATTTGAATTGTCCATCCAACAAGAGAGTGATTTTACTCATGAACTGTAATCGTGGCCAACTGCGACCAACTTTATTGACCCATATTTGAAAAAGTACTATTAGGGATTTTTTTTCACAAAAAACAATGATGGATTCTGAATCACGATCACTTGAAAAACACCTTTACTGATTTCTATCATCATAAAACACAGGGTGTCCGAAAAAACGAATTATGTTTTTTTCAATAGGTAATCAGAAAATTTTGTATTGTGGTATTTTTGAGAAGAATTGATGACACATTATTATTGAGGATCACTTTGAACATATCTGTACCGATTTTCATCATTCAAAAATACGATGTGTATGAGAAAACAATCAAAAAGAAAAAGTAGGCACTATTTTTTCATCAACTCAAAAAAAATTAAGTTGATTTTTCGAACCCCTGTTTTTAATGATGATGAATATCGGTACAGGTATGTTCCAAGTGATCCTGATTCATCTTTTTATTTTGAATGAAGAATTATCAGGATGAAAAATATTGCGTACCTATCCTTTCCAATTTTTTTCTCAGACACATTGTATATTCAAATGACGAAAATTGGTACAGGTATATTCGAAATAATCCTCAATGATAATTTGTGATTATTTCTTTCTAGAAAAACCACAGGACAGAACTACATTTGCTGATCACCTATTTGAAGAAAATGATGATTTGTTTTTCGGACACCCTGTGTTTTATGATGATGAAATTCGGTACAGGTATATTTCAAGTGGAATATGGGTCATTGAAATTTGTCGCAGTTGGCAACGATAACAGTCCAAGAATTAGATCACTCTCTCGTTGGATGGGCATTTCAAATACCTATCCAACAAAAAAAAAAGATTTTTTGAAATTGGTCGGATAATAACGGTTTTACAGGGGTGGTAAGTCCCCAAGGTGGACACACTGTATGTATGTATGTATATACCTGTAATAGTAGGAAAGCCAGCTGCAGATTTCTACCGTCATCTGATAACAAAATGATATACAGGGTGTTCAGTTCAGGACTTTCCACCCCAATTTTCTCGAAATGTGTGTATGTTTTTAGAAAATCCCAAGATACGTCAACAAATGTTACGAAGGGGACAAGTTTTCATCAGGAAATGAACGCTCCCCCTTTCATACCCTGCATGGGGGAGCTACCAACTGCAAAATCTCAAAGGCGAAGGGGTATCGAGTCATACCTCATTTTGAAGGTCTTTGTATTCTCTACACGTCAGTGTTTCGTTTTTCGAAATTGATCGATCTGTTGCCGAGATATTTAGGAAAATCAGTTTTCTGATGCGTATACCATTGAAATAGAAACTAATTGTTTATTCTCATTCCTTTTACTGCAAACCTAAATATCAATATTTTACACTACTGTCACTTCAGTTATTGCTCAAAATGTTGTCCATTATTGCCCAAGTAATGGTATAACCGCTGTTCAAATGCGTTGCGCATATTTTCAAACATTTCTGGTCAAAGTGCTTGACATTTTGCAGTGATACTTTGTTAGAGCTCTTGTAAATTTTGCAGCGGGCGTG